AATTTACTGTGAATATTATATTATTATATTTTTTTTATTCAAATATCTCTACAAAATATATTTTATGCTAGAAAAATAGACACGATAAATAGATAGAAAAATACTTTTGAAATGCAAATTTGTTAAGAAACTTAAATATGGCACAAAAAGGTGTGTGAAAAACTGATAGAATTATGAATATATTTTTCAACACTTACAATTTATACTAACAGGTTCCCTTACGATGACTTGTCATTGGTATTTGGGTCGCCTGGAAGCATACTAACTGATAGCAAATGCAATATGTCGACAATTACTAACAGCTATAAAAATAAAGATCAGACGACATAATTAGATTAAAAGCTATTATTGATGGGCATTTATAATGTTACCGACAAGTTATCAAAAATAGTTATAAATTTATCGATTAATATTGTTTTTTAATAATTAATTAATCAATTAATTAATTTGAAAATATAATAAATTATTGACTGTGTATTCGTCAAAAATAGGTTTTTTGACATTTAATTTAAAATGAGTTATTTGATATTACCTATTCTTTGAATTTATTTATATAATAATTTAATTATTAAGTAAAGTGATATTACATGAAAAACTAATAAAATAAATAATCAGATAAACAGAGTAAATGAGTTGTACACAGGGTAATAAATGTAAAATATATCCAAAATAAAATTATAAAAAAAGAGTTAGATAAAGACTAGCTAAACTTGTAGGGTGAAGAACCATTCACGTCATCCAATGGTGAAGAGTCTTTGAAAAAAAAAAAGGGTAAAAAATGCATTTTAGGGTACTTCTTGTCAAAATTAAAAAATTTTAAAGCTTACTTGTCCTAGAAGAGGGGAATGACATTAACAATTATCCTTTTTTTCACCTTTCTAAACTTATTTAAATTGTTTTATCTTCTTTTTTTTATTGTTGTTTTATGGACAACTTAAGCAGGTTTAATATCGTATTTTTTTTCTTGATTAGATTTGGTTGTGTTTTTACTAGGAAATATTTTGAAGGAGAAAGTAAAAAGTAATTATATTGATATGGATGTTTATATTATAAAGTATTTAACTACGTTAAAATATGATTGTTTAATTTTAAAATTTTGAATGTAATAGATACGATAAAGTGAATTAAATTCCAATCTTAAAAATGAATATATGTAAGATAAAAAAATGATAGAGTTCTATATTCGAATTGAGTGAAAATTTTAAAATTATATATTAATTATTGTGATTGTGATTAGCTTTCTTTTATGTAACGGATTTTGAATACTTTTTATACTTGCAGTAATAAATCTCTTTTACTTATATAAAAAAAAGACATAATATTTTAAAAACTAATAACTTATTTAATTCAAATTATTTTTGGCATTTATAAATGTAATTTGAGATTTTTTCACAAATAAAATAAAATTGTACGCTAAATATATTATGACTAACATATTATTAATTCATAGATGTTTATATGTTGATAGTTCATGAGAGTGGAACGATACTAAAAAATTCACTTTCTATGTATAATTTAAAATACATAATAATATTTCTTTTAAAGGACAAGTGGAGATATTTTTAAATACATGATTAGATTTTTTTTAAAATTAATTTTACTTATATTTTTTACTAATTTAATTTATAATTAATTTTTTAAACAAGTTATTATTATAATGATATGTTAATAAAATATACTTATCGGACCTTGTTAATGGTATGAGACTGATACTTTTAATGAAACAAATAGCTAAAAAAATTAATTTAATTAATCTTTAATTTTACTTTTAATTTTTATATTTTAATATATATATATATATATAATTTTATTGTTTTAATTTTAATTATTTATATTTAATTTTTTAAATGTTTAAATCAAGTTTTTTAACTAAAAATTTATTTAATAATTAATCAAAATATCAATTTTTGAGTGAAAGACTTAATTGAAGAATTTCAAAAAAATTAAAATTAATATAAATAATTAAAATTAAAAAGATTAAAATACATTTATGTTAAAATATGAAGATAAAAATATAATAAATTTTTAATTTATTCATTAAATAAATTTTATTGAACGCGAGATAAGCCATAGAAGCTTAAAAGACCGTTTTGGGTCGTTGTTTAGCCGTTAAAAAGAAAGAATATATATATAGATAGATTAAGCTCTTAATAAAATATCATGTGTTATGTTATTACTTAGATTTAGGAAGCAACTTCCAACCACTTAACAAGTAACTGTTAGGGTCTTATCTTATATTGATTGCAATAAGAAAAACATGATCTTGTTGAAACTTGATGGCAACAAATTGGCAAGGGCACTAAAGACGTATGGTCTTCTATGGAGTCATTGAGCCACTTGAAAATTTCGTTTTCTATAGGAAATCCAATAATAATTCATATCTTAGTGGATGTCCATCAAAACCACAGAAAACAAAAATGATTAGCATGTGATCTATTTACATTAATTGGCTTTCTCACAAGGGGTGAAGGGCGATTAACATGTGACTCAAGTAGGCTAATTCACTTTTTCTAGGCTCATCAAAGATAGAGTGCATCATTGAATAAGCACCCATATTTGATCTCTTTTGGGTAACCGTGTATTTGATCATTGATTCATGAAGGGTATCCCCTCGAAACAATTGAACACTGAACAATTGATCATTGATTTCATAGAGTTAGTTCGATCATAACACAAATTTCTTAGATGGGTTTTGATCATGAAATGGAAACATTGCCTGAGAGAGTTTATTTTGGTTGTGGCTTTGACTAATTTATCAACATTTATTACTGGCAAACAAGGAATTATGATAGGAATTGAAAAGGGATACCCAATGTTATAGCTTGTAGAAGTAGGGACACAACCTTGAGATATACCTAAGCTAACCAATACAAGGTGGATCAGGACAGGGGATATCCCAAGTCTGAACCATTCCAATCAAACAAAACATCATTAAATATATATAAAAGAAAAGAAAATAGCTTTTGCCAATCTGGTCTCACTATATAATTATGCTTATCGTTTATTTATCTGAATTTTCTTTCTTTATTATTATACATTTTTTCGTTATATTTTTGTCGATCAGAATAGGTTATTTCTTTAATTTTCTTTTTAAGCACAAAGTAGACAGTGCTTATCTAGTCTATCAAATAAGAGGGTAAAATAGCATAGAACAGAATTTTTTTCGAAAAATATATCCGTTATATGAAAATTTTTAAGAACATATTTTTACAAATTTTAAAATATTATTAATTTTTTTATATATTAAATTTTAGCACCTACTCTTTAACTCAAAGGATTTTCAAATTTATTTTTTGTTAATAAATCAAGAAGTAGAGATTATGTAACAAAAGAAAAAAGTGTCAATTTAAATTTTTATACATTGTATTAAATTAATTGAAATAGAGATTATGTCTAAGTTCAAATAATTTATTTTTTAATTATTTTCCCTTAATTACAAAAGTTTGATAGTGCTTATCTACTTTATCATATAAGAGGGTAAAATAGCATATAAATTTTTTATATAAAAATATATCTGCTATATGAAAAATGTTAAGAATTTTTTTTAAAAAATTTAATATATTATTAATTTTTATATATATTGAATTTTAGCGCTACTCTTTAATTAAAAGGATTTTTGAATTTATGTTTTGTTAATAAATGATGAAGTAGAGATTATGTGTAAGTTCAAATAATTTATTTTTGTAATTATTTTCCCTTAAATAGAAAATTTTAATTTCTTTAATTTAAGAGAAATGCACACATTTTAAAAATTTATTATAAGAAAATGACTTTATTTGATTAAAATGTCATTGTTATAACATAATTGTGTTTCATTTAGTTTAGGTAAGATATATATATATATATATATATATATATATATATATATATATATATATATTGAATAATACATAGATATCTAATTTTATTATCGTTGAAATAAATTTATTTGATAAAGGATTAAATAATTTTAAAAAATATAAAAACTTTTAAACTTAATTGTTTAACGCAAATGGTTAAATTGATGAAATTTTGTATTTCAAAAAATATTAAGTAAAATTATTAAAATTTACTGTTAAGAGTAATTATATATGTTTTTAAAAGTTAATATCTCTTTTTTACAAAAATAAATAACAAATATTTTGAAACAAACTAAAATATTTAAAAGAATAAATAATAGAAAACAAAAAGAATAATAGAACAGTTTCTTTTATTATCAATGAGCATGTGAATTAATTGAGATAAAATTATTCTAATTTAATTTTTATGAATTGTTAAATATTCAAAGAAATAAATATATCATTACTCATAGTAATTTCACCGTACTTGAATAAGATTATCTTAAAAAAAATACATGAGTTTAAACCAAAAAATAATAATTTCTTTTATTATTGATAACAAAAAGAAAAATCTCTGTTCTATTTTCTTAATTCTTAAAGTACAAAATTTCAATATTATTTAATAACGATAATATTTATACCTTTCGTATATTTTTATTTATATTATATTTATGATCTTTACTTAAAAAATCTAATGTTTAATAATGATAATGTTTTTAATTACTCAAAATGTATGTATCAAACAAGTTTTATATAATTTATACAATCGACTTTTAATAAAATTTCTACCTTTTGTCTTTATTCATAACAAAATTGGTTTAAAATTACTGGTAGAATGCATGAAAAATTTGGTAATAAATTAAAAGAATCATGGAACTCGCTAACTCAAAAGGAGAATACATTGAATTATAAGCAATGGAATGAATCGCATTACCTAGAAGTTAAACAAATTTTAATTAACAGTGCAAAGTATGTTCAGAAATAAAAGAAAATATAGTATGTTGCTAAAACTATCTACGTTGGTAGTCCTAGTCCTAGTACAAACCTCTTCCTCCGTAAACAGGCATGTCCCTAACCCACGAGCGAATTAATTAATAATGAAGAGCAACAAAACAGAAGCTTTAAACAATCAGATGGAAACTAGAGTGTGGATATAAACTAAAATTGATAAGGCCAACGAGAATACGAAAATGAAAGGAAATAAAAAGGAAAGAAGGAGGTGGATTCCTTACACATAACGCATCTCTTGGGTTCGGGTTCGGAGCTAGGTTCGGTCGTGTTAGACTTTGTGCGGATAAGAACAACCTCTCTCACACACTCTCTCTCTCATATGTTTTCTCTCTCTAAGAAACACCATCTACCGCCTCCAAGTCCTACAAGAACCCATTCCCTCCCACACCGCCCCAACTCTTCCAAAAGCTCACTCTTTCTTCACAAAACAAACCTACCTCTGTTTTCTCTCTCTTCTTCTCTTATTCTTCCATAACAATAATACACTCTCCTCAACTTTCTCACATTCACCACAAAGACACAAACTTTCTCCAATCAGAGTCTTCAAGCTGGCGTTCGAGAACCAAGACATCACTGTCAGAGAAATCAAGCCCAAGAACAGAAGAATCATGGTAACCCAATTTCTCTCTTTCACTAGTTTTGGTTTCATTGAGCGTCCTTTTGCTTTGTGGGGGTGTTTGTGCTCTTTTTTCTTTTCCATTCTTTGGTGTGAAAAATGCAATTATTTCTCGGGTGTTCTTAATATCTGGGTCTGATTCAAAATTTGATTTTTCGAAAAGGGAGCTGGAGGTCCTGATGATGAGGACAATAGGTGGCCACCATGGTTGAAGCCTCTGCTCAAAGAGAGTTTCTTTGTTCAATGCAAGTTGCACGCTGATTCGCACAAGAGTGAGTGCAATATGTACTGTTTGGATTGTATGAACGGTGCTTTATGTTCTCTCTGCCTGGCTTACCACAAAGACCACCGTGCTATCCAGGTTCGTATCAAAGTTTTTTGCTTTCATCAATTTTTTGTTTTTGTTTTTTCTTTCTCAGTCTCTGACACATTTTCAGTCATTGGAGTCAAGACTACCACTTTTCCTTTTGTGGCGGTGTTGGATTCGTTCTTTCTGTGGAACTTAGTTAAAAGTCCCATCTTTCCTCTTCTCTGCTGAGATTTGAACCTGTCATTTATTGGGTTCTGTATTAAAAAATTCTGTGTCCAATTTTCCCTCTCTGAAACCGAAATTTCAGGGTCCAGCATTTAACAATGTTAGCTTTTCAATGTAACAAATGGCCATTCCCTTCTAATGCACATTTTTTGTTGCTTCATGGTGTGTGACAGATAAGGAGGTCCTCATACCATGATGTGATAAGGGTGAATGAGATTCAGAAGGTTTTGGACATCACAGGGGTCCAAACCTACATTATCAACAGCGCAAGGGTCGTGTTCTTGAACGAGAGGCCTCAGCCAAGGCCTGGTAAAGGTGTCACCAACACTTGTGAAGTCTGCGAGCGTAGCCTTCTTGATTCCTACCGATTCTGTTCTCTCGGTTGCAAGGTACACTTTTCAACTCCACACAATGTCTCCCATTGGTAACAAAATGCACCCATCAAAGAATTATAATTATTATTTTTATTTAAAAATGCTATTAATACATTGTCATGATAATTTTCATTAAAAAAAATATTTATTTATTCTTCAACCAATATTTTTTAATCTTAATTTGCTTTATTTTTAAGCTGGCACATAAATGGGTTGACTTTTTCAATTATACCCATGAATGCCAAAAGGGGTTTCCAATTCAATCCAATTCAATGCTTTACCCAGTATTTGAATATTTGGGATTTCAACATTGGGCCTTATTCATTGTACATGTATTGAATTCAATTAATCGACTTGTCAGTCTTCGATTCATCGTTTGAATTATTTTTTATTATAATATTTACATATTAATGAATGCAAGTATGAATTGTATTGTAGATTGTTGGGACTTCAAGGAACTTCGAGAAGAAGAAAAAGTCAGCGGCAATGGCATCAGACTCAGAGGATTCATACAGCAGCAGCAGTAGCCATGGGAAGAAGAAGAACAAGGTGCAGAGCTTCACTCCTTCGACGCCACCACCAACGTCAGTTAATTACAGAACGGCCAAGAGAAGAAAGGGAATTCCACATCGTGCCCCAATGGGAGGACTAATCATAGAATACTAAACACTTAGTAGCTTTAGGTTATTGCTATGATGCCCCTCATCATATGTTTACTAAAAAATGCAAGTTTCTCCGTGCAGTTTCACCAGTTCCAATACCCGAGCTTTTTTCAGAAAAAGGCCGGTGCTGGAAGTGTCCCCTTCTCTGTTCCCTAGTGCTTAATTGCGTTTGTGTATATAGGAAAAATCCAATAGAAGTGGAAAAGGTTGAGAAAGTAGAAAATAAGACATCCGTGAAATAGTTTGAGAAAAAGAATGGTGTAGCAAAATAAGCAAGTTCCTCTCAACCCAAGTAAAAAAAGACCATGAGGAACATTATAGGTTTGGTTTCTAGAGTAATTATACCTTAGTTTTGGGCTGGGAGGAGGTGTACATATTGCCTTAGTAAAGTGGTGGGGAAAAAGACAGTGACAATGTACTCATTACAATTAGGTGGCTGTCTATATATGGTATGGTTAAATAATAAGATTTTATTAAATTTTGTATCTAGATTTACTGCAATTACAATTCTGGAATAATATATTAAATTAGTTTATAAAATTTTAACATTTATCAATTTAATGGTCATAGTTATAAAAAACATTATTTCAATTTTTAAAAATATTAAATGATGATATTTTAATTTTAAGAATTATAAAAGGAAAAAGTAAAATTATTAATGTTCATTAATTCAAGGATTAAATATGTAAAAGTAGTAATTTTAAAGGCTAATATATCATATTTTAAAGTGAATTTGCTGAATTTAACATGTAATATTGGTAATGGTGGTGGGAAAAGCTTATGGGACCCAATGGGACCCACTGGAGCCGGTTTACGTGGGGCTGGTCAAGGTTTTGGTCGCAGTCACGTCCACGTGTCACAACGTGAATGGTTTCAGGAAAGCGAGACGTATTGGATGTCGAAAACAGAGATTAGGCCAGCCGCCCTCAATGAGAAAAAAAAAACAAATAATTTTGTGGGCGGTTCCGCAGAGGGGCGTGTTTGGTTTAAAGGTGGGACCCAGGGCTAGTTTAGATCAACGGCTGCTGTTGATTGCGATTGGACGGGTGTTGATGGGTGAGATGATCTGGGTTCTAAAAGAGGAAGGGGTTGGAATCTTGGATTGGGTTTTGCAAGGAAAGGGGAAGTTTCCATGCGTAGCAATTTGTTGATGGGTCGTGTCAAGGATAGTGGGGATGGAATCAATCTAAATGTGATATTTCCTTTCCCTACTTGAGTTGCTTCTGCTAACTTGACTCAATTTAATTGCTTATTTGTATTGGAGTTTCTTGTCACCCCTTGAGAGAGAGAGAGAGAGAGAGAGAGAGAGAGAGAGAGAGAGAGAAGGAACCTTGCTCCCTTGTCATAGTCAAGGGTACATTGCTGTAATTTCAATTGTTTCCCCATGAAGAATGTCCAAGATTTTATGGGAATTATTATCACTTTGTTTGTTTAGTGTCTCTGTCTTACACTGTAAGATTTCATCTAACCATTAACCAATGTATACTTCTTAGCTATTTTGACCCACCTGCCTCTTCTCAATAGGATTTGTGTTTATTAAAATTACACTAAACGGCAAGGTATAAAAATATTATTTCAAGTTTAACATTATTTCAGATTATTATTATTATTCCTAATAATCATGTATTTTTTAATTGACATAAAATAAATTGTTTTAATTACGACACATTATTTCTATAGCTGTTAGTTAATATGATGTGTGAAAAATTAAATTTAAATTATATTAGACAAAAAAATTACAATAACATTAAAATATAGGTTACCTAAAATAATTTTTTAAATTTAATAAATATCTCATGATTCAAAATTTTAAATTTAATTCAAATTATATTTGAAGTAAAGTAAATTTAAGTAACGATATACTATTTGTAATTTTTTTATTAGGTACATTTGACTTAAATTATACAAATCAATTTAGTTCCATTAAATCTAACTCTACTATCAATATTTTATTCTTTTTAGTTTTAATTTATGTTCCTAATAACTTCATTTATTGAAGAAAATTAAGAAAAAAAAAAATACTAACACGTGTGTTAATGGAATCAAAAGTGTAAGGTTTGTGTAAAAAATGTACTTAATAAACCTCTTCCTGTGCTTTTCAATGCAATTAAACATGTGTTTTTTTTTTAAATCACTTTGAATTCCTTAATGAGACCCAAAAATATAATAAATATTTTATAAAAATCATAAAGTAAATTAAAAAAATGACTAAAAACTTTTAAAATGTAAATTATAAAAATAGCGAAGTAACATGTATGATCTATGTATAAATATAATACTATTCAATGAGAGAACATTCATCATAAAATTTAATAGATAAATTAATCAAATTCGACGTTGATGAATAATTATTCAAAATAAATTTAATAAAATTATTTTCATAATAATTCGATTAAAAAAATTAAATTACTACAAATTTATAATATAAGAATGAATTACCAAAAAATTTGATATCGTGAAAATTCAACATATACTTATAAAATATACGTCCAATCAAGATATTGAATTACAAAAACACTTCTTTAATTAAACTACATAATCACTCCATCTTAAAGTGTATCTCAATACATAATTTGCAAATAATGCAAACAACTTATAATAGATCAAAATTTTACTAATTACAAACTAATTAATGTTAAAGTATGCATTACAGTATAATTATAATTTTAGGCTTATATAAAAACGTTATGAATATTTTATGATAATATTGAAATGATATATCAATACATAAGTTATTTTATTCTAATAAATTTTATATTTAAATTTAAGACATAAGTCATTGTTTTAAAATTTCTTTTACAAAATAAGTGCTTAAATAAGTAATTATATTTAAATATTTCTTCAATGTACCCTGAATATGATCGTAAATTAGTATAGAATTTTGTGCATTTTAAATATTTCTATAATTACTATTCAATATCTAAAACAACAATTAATTAAAAAGGAGAGTTAAAATGTTGATTGATTGTTATTAAAAGTGAAAAAAAAAATTAACAATAATAACTAATAGTTTAATTGTCCATTTAATCTAATAACAAAACTAACCCATGTTACTAATTTTTAAATTTGAATTATTTTTTACTCATAGTTTAATTTAAGATAATTAATTAAGTATTAGTCATATTAGAAGAATTTATTATTATTGTGAATAGAACATAGAGTATTTATTGAATTTGAATTAATCAAATATTACTAAAATGTTTAATTCTATTAAGTATCGTTTTTAGAAATGACTTGCATAAAATATTTAAAAAATTTGATTATGTACATAAATTGAATTAATGATCTATTGATATATATTATTAATTTTTTTTAAAAATTAAATAGGTTAAAGTATTTTTTATATTTTAATTTTATCTTTAATAAAATGTTAATACTTAAAAAAAATATTTATTTTTTTAATTCTAATTCAATTATCATGAATTGAATTCCATTCAAATTCATATATAAAGTTAAAACTATTCAAATATAAGTCTCAATCTTAATCTAATGTGCATAATCAAACATTAATGTGATTAAAAAATTTTATTAGTTATATATTAAGAGTTATAATGCAATTTAAATATTATAAACCATACATATTTAAAAGTTGTACAAAACTTAATTAATAATAAAATTAAGAATAAAAGATAAAATAAATTTGATTCGATTAATGACAAAATCTCACTATGTCAACATCTAACATGTTATTATATTAGTAATTTCTATTACTCTATTCTTGTGATTTTATTTTTCAAGCTTGCTAATCAAAGACTATCATCGATCGCCCCGTGAGCTTCGTCATTAGATTTAGTAAATGAAATATCATTTTTGTTTGATTAAAATGCAAATGGTGAATTCATGTATAAGCATTTAAGTAATTATAAGATGTGGGAGTGAATGTTAAATTTTTACTTATAAAGATGAGTCTGTAAAAAAAACAATTTTTACAATATGAATATAAAGTATATTATTATACTTTTCATATATTTGTATAAATATATTTTAAATCAGAAATAAATAAACAATTTTTAATAAGTGTACTGGATAAAGATCAACTCGGTCTCACTTGTAGGAAAAGGAAACCGAGTACCTATTCGGCATAATAGGCCGGATACCCCTCATCAGGATTAAAAGGTAATTAACCCAATTAAGGGTAATAATCAAAATATTATTTAAATAAGGAAAATGGGCCAAAGTATAAAAGTTGGCTCAGCAGGCCCATTAGCCCAATACAATGCTTATAAAAGAAAGGTAGGAAATACAGTAAGTGGTTGACTTCTTATTATTAAATAGCATTTATTGCTCAGAACCGAATCCTGACTTCAGCATCGGAGTGCCTTTTGCAGGTACCCTTCCACATCAGCATCAGTTAGAGAAACATCAGCACGTCAAAGCAGAGACTTGAAGACCCGTGTTATCCTGACAGGAATATTTTGACGCCCACCTTGGGGCCCGATTAACCTCATTTTTCAGAATTAAACATGGTACTAACGAGAAGCCAGCAGGAAGGAACCTCTCGGCAACAAATGGAGGATGTCACACCAGAGGAACCGATACCTGAAATGGCAATGCAAGGAGGTACAGATGAGAGCATTTTAGCTGTACTGAGGCAGCTTAAGGCAGAAATGACAGAAATGAAGAAGGAGCGAGAGAAGGATGCATTGGAGCTTTTGGCTCTGAGAAGGGAAAATGCTAACCTAAGAGAAGAGATAAGGACACACATCCCCTCCCAAACTACACCCATCATCCGGGATCAGGAGGAATCCTCGGCGTTGCAAGAAAAGTCAAAAGTTTATCAATCGGTAGCCAAAAATGACCGAGATGATCTAGTGAACCAAAACTCATTCGTTCACCATATTCTGGAAGCTAAGCTGCCTGATAATTGGAGAGGATTGGCAATAGACAAGTATGATGGTACATCTGATCCTGGAGAACATCTGGATGTCTTTATAACCCGAGTCAGTCTGTACACAGAAAACGATGCTTTATGGTGTAGAATTTTTCCCACTTCACTCTGAGGACCTGCACTCAGTTGGTTCACCCGACTCCCCCCTTTATCCATCTACTCTTTTGCAATTCTCACAAGATGTTTCAACTTGCAGTTTGCCACAAGCCGACCTCATCCCTTAACATCCCTGGCCCTAGTCAATATTCACCAAGAAAAGGGAGAACCACTTAGAACGTTCATGGAACACTTTGGCAAAGTGACTCTTTCAATCCATAACTTGGAATCAGCAGTGGCTATGCACCACCTCACAACAGCCTTAAAGCCAGGACCTTTTGTTAATAGCATCTGCAAAAAAACTCCCGTGGACCTAGACGAGTTAAGGAGTTGGGCTGCAAAGTATATGCAGATGAAAGAATTATCTGAACACCGAAACTAGGTACGAATAGACCAAGGTCCAATTCAAAAAATATAGACAGGAGAGAAGCTTTCAAGGGTAGGCAGGGAAACGAGAGAAGAAATGAACTTGAAAGGCCACCCCGGGGACCTAAGTATCTTTCCTACATTACGCTCAACACTAACCGGTCCAGAGTACTTGATCAGGCGTTGGCCACAGAAATATTGAGAATGCCTAGACGTGTCAACACTCCTCCTCGGGCAGATAAAAGTAAGTTTTGCCGATACCATCATAACAGGAGTCACACTACCGAGGAGTGCAACGCGCTGAAAGACAAAATTGAAGAATTAATCAAGGAATGACATTTAAAAGATTTTGTACAAACAAATTCCATGGGGCAACCTAACAGAGGAAGAGACCGTTACCCTGAATCACCAAAGAGGTCTGACGACAAAAAATTTGAACGACACAGGAGCAGGTCCAGGGAACCCCCAACTAGAAGATATGATGAGCGAGAGAAGTATCCCAAAAGGATCATTAACACCATAGCTGGAGGGTTTGTCGGTGGAGGACCTACCCATTCGGCCAGAAAGAGGCATCTCAGACATGTTAGTTCTGTTAATAATGTTTCATTAGGCAGCAGAATCCGGATCCCGCCTATTACGTTCACTGACAATGACTTTCAAGGAGTCGATCCGGTGCAGGATGATCCCATGGTCATTAGTGTAGACATTCTTAATTGCATTGTTCGGAAAACACTAATTGACCAAAGGAGTTCGGCTGACATCCTGTATTGGAATACGTTTAAGCAACTAGGCATCTCTGAAGAAGAGATCAGAGAATATAACGAACCGTTGGTCAGTTTTTCTGGGGAACGAGTAGAGCCTAGGGGATGTATTGACTTGTATACCTCGTTTGGATCAGAAATGAGGGAAAATGTATAAAAATTACTTATCTTGTAGTACATGCGAACACCTCCTATAATATACTACTCGGCAGACCATCCCTGAATAAGTTGAAAGCCATAGTATCCGCTCCGCACTTGGCCATGAAGTTTTCATCTGAAAGAGGCCGAATCATTACAGTCCATGCTGATCAGAAAACA